ACATAGTCAAGATGATAGTATATGGGCAGCCCAGCTGGGTCCCTCATGGGGCCCAGGCACCAGCCCGCCTGCACCACATGCTGGCATGTGGTCAGCTTGCCCGCCTGCGACCCTTTTGGATCCGAGTCTGTGTCGCTCACCCTCGTTGCGAACTAGTTTGTACACGATCAGAAAATATCCAACCGTGGAGAGCAAAGCATACAAAATATTGCACTAGGGTAAAATACGTCAGCATATGGGTAGCCCATTTGGGTTCGACATGGAGCCCAAAGACCATCCCACCTGCGGCGCATGTTGACATCAGCCCAAACTGCCCACATGCATCCCATATGAACCCCATACGGGCCGAACCACGACGAACGAACCACAACGGTCCAGCCAGTTGTCCCATGTTGTAAAATAATTGCACAAAATATGGCAAAAAGTCGATACAGTAAATACAATTGATATCCACATAATTGTGTAGGTGGCAACTTGTTGCATATCTAACATATGAGTAGCCCATCATGGAGCTCAAATACTAGCCCACATGCGGCCCATGTTGACATGAACCTAGTTTACCCACATACATCCCATATGAGCCCCAACCCGTGCTGCTCTCCTTTGCTATGTACTCATTTCTACATGATAGGAAAAATCCAACGCGGGAGCACAAAGCAACAAGCCTAATGCACCTGCACCGACTACAGTAGCGTATGGGCGACCCATCTGGGTACGAGGTGGAACCTGAATACCACCCCACCCGCGACCTACATGGACTTGAGCCCAGCTAGCCGGTGCTCAGCCCATATGGACTCCAGTCTAGGCAGCAGTCCCATGTTCTGAGGTAATTGTGCACGATAAGTCCAAGACAATGGGAACAACTGGTATGCACATCAGTGTTCTGTGTGTGGCAACTTTATTACGCATGTAACATATGGGCAGCCCATCTGGGCCCCAGATCAAGCCTAGATACCAGCCCACCTGCAGCCCATGTTGACATGAGCCCAGCTTGTCCGCACATGGCCCGCATGGCTCCCACCAACGCAGGCGCTCCCCCGTCGCGAGTTATTCCTTCTTGATGTGGTGAATTCCGACGGGACAGTACAAGGCACCAACATTTCTAGTGCATGTACAAATATGACATAATGTGGGCACGCCATGTGGGACCCAGCAGGAGCCCAGTTAGAACCCCCATGTGTAGCCCGTGCCCATATTAACCCAGTTTTCCCACGTTTAGCCCATGCGGGCCCATGCGGGAATGCTGACTGGGAAGTGCATTATAGGTCGCTAATGCAGACATACACAAGATGCAATTCGGCGTCTAAGTGTAAAGCTATGCACTGAAAGCAAAGTTAAAAAAACAAATGATATGCATGGTGAGAAGTGTATTCAAGTTTTGCCAAAGAGGGTGCGAAGGAGCATCACCTCAAACGTATACTGGCAATGCGGTGCTATGCATGAATAAGGTGCGAAAATATTCGCACGTGCAGATCGGAAAAAACATGTTTTTACCTGATAACATTTCATGTTCTTCCCTGGAAGTAAGCAAAACATGCTTGCGCAGAGGCGTCCCTAGACGTTGAAGTAAGAAGGATCCATGGCCTCTGAAACATGAAGGCCCGAAATGGAATGCTTCATTTCAGCATTTCCTTCTGTACACTTAACAGCATCTTAACCTCTGCCAGAGTCCAGCGCAGGAACAACGAAAGGGAGTTGAGCTGCAGTACGCAGAAGGCGTGGCCACCAACAACGAACCGTCAGCCGGCATCGGCGGCAATAGATCCTCCTCCCCTTGTTTGAATCATACGCTCCTCCCCCTTGTTTTGAAAACTGGATACGCCTATGCCACCTGTCCTTTGCATGCAATATAGGCACCATATATATGTGGCGTGGCCAATCACACCCTAACTCAGGGTGTCACTGTATTAGAGCCACGCTCAGTCCACCCGTCGTGTGGACTGAGCGTGGCTTTGGGTCGCACAAATGGGTCGCACAAACCATTGGACTCGCTGGCTCCACCGTTCGCCCACTTAGTGCTCCGACCCAGTGGTGCCCGAGGGCACCAGTTGGCTGGCCGCCCTTGACACATAGGCAGCCCGCAACGCACCACGCTGTGGCCGCACCACGCGTGGCATGCACCTGTGTTTAGAATTTTGGTATCATCATTCCATGTCTCGTACCTTCCTTTGAATATGTTAACGAATTCTTAAATATTGAAATGTCGCCACAATATATGTATCTCGAAATCATTATCTATCAATCTGAGTTTGTTAATGATTGAAGAAACTGAGTTTTAAAAGAAATGTTCAGATCGTCTGCGTCCTTGCCACCCCCCCCCCCCCCCCCCCCCATTTGACACTTAGTGCAGATTATTGGGTTGTCTTAGGAAGTGCAAATCATGTCGAGCGAAATCAGACGCCATTTTTTCAACATATAAATATAGTGCTTTCTAATAGGGCTTCCGGAGATCTCAAGGGAGGCGGACGTGGAATCCAACTCCCCGCGCGGAGCATTAGCGTCGGTAAGACCGAACGGAAGACCGGATACGCAGGAGAAGATTTCCGCGCCGTGGGAGGCCCTGTATGGCCAACACCAGGCCCTGTTGGTCGACAGGAGCCACCAGCTGATCGAAACAACGCGTGATCAGACGCTTGGGCCCCATGAAAAACACTTTAAACTTATCCAGTCTATGGAAAGGCTCCGATCGGGGGCACCATCGAGAATGATCGGAGGCACCACCGAGAATGATCGGAGGTACCGCCGAGAACGATCGGAGGCACCACCGAGAATGATCGGAGGTACCACCGAAAATGATCGGAGGAGATTTTGTTCAGTTATATATGCCTAAGAAATCCTCTCAAAATGGTAAGAAATCCTTCTCAAAAGGAAAAATATGCAGATGTTTGCTTGTGAGGCCCCCCAATCCGATTCAGTGGCCGCTATATCTGATCTTTTGAACTTTTGGAAAATGGCAGTGGCGCTGCCATTGTTTGTGTTATAAACAAGACTGGACTAGACATGAGGCATAAAAGCGACGGGTTTTTTGCACCCTTTGCGAGCAAAAAAACGGTTACAGAGCCAACTGCCTCCTAATGTTTTGAAAGCTTGAAAATTGACGACACACACACACACACACACACACACACACACACACACACACACACACACACACACACACACATCCATGTACCGGCCCGGCGATCTTTATTCCTGATTGTCCAGATTTCTGATAACCTCAGATTCCCCCCCCCCCCCGACGGTCTGTTCCGCAACAGAAATCAAAGTTTTCAATCCCCACGTGTTTTCCGTGCAACAGCAGCAGCGTCACATCCAATTTGCAAAATTTGAGGCCTACGCGTTTGTCTGTTCACTTTCGGGCACTGGACTACTGTTCTGCACAGTGCCGTAACCAGGATTTCGCTCCGGAGAGGGCCAAATTGAAGTGCGAGGCCCTTTCACCCAGTAGGCTCTCATTTCGTTGCTACATATGTTTGCATTTAAGGGACTCGTTTGTCTGCAGTCTATAAACGTGAACTTCGGTTACGTCACAACGAAAATGACGCAAGCTTCGACAGCAGAGGCGTCGGCTGCACCTGTGCGCTGCATGCTGCAGTCGGCACGTTCCGCTGCAAACTTGCGTCACGTCTGTCGTGACGTGACGGACTTCATGTTTACAAGCTCGCGCCCAGCTCAAACCAGGATGCGCGGAACAGAAGGCAAGGTCCGTTTTTCGTTTCCCCTGTTGTGGTGGATGTCATTGCTGCGCTGTTGATTGTCACGGAAGCAGGGTTTCGGCGATCTCATCACGTCTTTCAAGTCCGAAGGCACTGACCAATTTACCTCAATCCGCGGGGTGGCGGACAGCTTCGATGCGACAAAATGCACGGGTAGGAATATTCTGCTCCTATTTGCGTCTGATTATCAGTCATATATATATATATATATATATATATATATATATATATATATATATATATATATGTGTGTATGTGTGTATATATATATATATATATAGATGTATATATATATATATATATATATATATATATATATATATATATATATATAGGTTTACAGTTGCACGGAAACCAAGGATCCAAGAGGCTGAGGCCCGATAGTTCCGCAAGAGTTAACACTTTCCTTATGGGGGTTGCCTGGAAAGAAACATCCAACTGTGGTTATCGGCATCCCCATCTTGGAGAACTTCCAGAGGGCCCTTAGTGGCTTTTATCGTAAACTTGCTCAAAGTCAGAGTTATAATAATTCAGAAGTGCTGCGAATCAGAGTTCGGAATTCGAGAGCGCTGCAAAAACGGAATTAAGCCTAAGTCTTACCACGAGACATTGCATTTTTAGGGACGATAAAGCCGAGGTGTAATCAACCTTCCAGCAAATCCTTGGAATGCCAGAAGTACCAGGATATATCTATAATACTTGCATACCAGGAGCAGGTGGCGCAGAGGCGTCCTACTGCGCACGTGTTTGGACTAGGGCGCGGGAGCACCGCTTTCCTGTGGCGACTGACGCTCCATGTACGGCCTCCAGCACGTGATGTGAGTAGGCGACCGCAGCACGAGACACGGGGCCGCTCACTGCCTCCGCTGGCCGCTGGTCGGACGCATATCCGCCAGGTTAGGAGATATGGCCTCCGTTGTCGGTCCTAGGGCATCGGCAGCGTTCAAAAGGAAAGTGAAACTCATGAAAAAACGACTGGAGAGAAAACAGCGCTAACTGCACGTCATGTCATCCAACATTCACATCAAACATCTCGGCAACACTCCGCGAGGAAAGCACAATGCCCCCATGGGAGGCTTGACATTGGGTCTTGCCGGGAGTGGCGCGCGGACGGCAGCCGGGGGCGGGGGCCGTCAGCGGCGGCGTCAGCGCGGCCGAGCTGGGCGGGCGGCGTCAGCGCGACCGAGCAGCGCCGGCACCTGGCGGCCGGCGAGGTGAGAGCGCCGGCCCGGAGGCCGCCAACGGCCGCTCCGCCGAGCCGCCTCCGCCATTCCGCAGTTGTGGCGCAGCCGGGCGTGCCGGCGGATGCCTGGGAAGTGATAGGCCGCCACCGCCGCCAAAGGAGCAGCCATGCTCACGTGAGTACCGTGCCGTGTCTGCCAGCAGCGGTTTGCACGCGTTACGACTGGAACGGTATGGCTGGCATGGACTGTGTGGTAGTGTGGCTCCTTCACCGTTGTCCATGTCGTTCGGTGCGGGGTGCCTGGATGGCTGACACGGGACATGTGGTAGCACGGCCCTCTCACTTGTCCCTGCCGTTCGGTGCGGGGTAGCTGGATGGATGACACGGGACATGTGGTAGCACGGCCCTCTCACTTGTCCCTGCCGTTCGGTGCGGGGTAGCTGGATGGATGACACGGGACATGTGGTAGCACGGCCCTCTCACTTGTCCCTGCCGTTCGGTGCGGGGTAGCTGGATGGATGACACGGGATATGTGGTAGCACGGCCCTCTCACTTGTCCCTGCCGTTCGGTGCGGGGTAGCTGGATGGATGACACGGGACATGTGGTAGCACGGCCCTCTCACTTGTCCCTGCCGTTCGGTGCGGGGTAGCTGGATGGATGACACGGGACATGTGGTAGCACGGCCCTCTCACTTGTCCCTGCCGTTCGGTGCGGGGTAGCTGGATGGATGACACGGGACATGTGGTAGCACGGCCCTCTCACTTGTCCCTGCCGTTCGGTGCGGGGTAGCTGGATGGATGACACGGGACATGTGGTAGCACGGCCCTCTCACTTGTCCCTGCCGTTCGGTGCGGGGTAGCTGGATGGATGACACGGGATATGTGGTAGCACGGCCCTCTCACTTGTCCCTGTCGTTCGGTGCGGGGTGACTGGATGGCTGACACGGGATATGTGGTAGCGCGGCTCCATCACTTGTCCCTGCCGTTCGGTGCGGGGGTGACTGGATGGCTGACACGGGACATGTGGTAGCGCGACCCCATCACTCGTCCCTGTCGTTCGGTGCGCGTTGCCTGGCTTCGGATGGCCTGACCGGACGTGCTCAGAGTTTCCGATTGCGTCTTGGGGGACCCTGCGGCAAGGTCCTGGCTCTGTTTGCTGAGGTTAGGAGAGGCTTTTAGGGCTCGGACGCCTTTTGCCGGTGCCATACAACCATATGCTTTGAACCACGCTGTCGTACCGTACGCTGCCACACGAGAAAGGTTTTTGACCGTTTCCCCTCGAGGTCGTCGCAATTGTCAGTACAAAACTGTCCCACAATTGCAAGGCCGTTCAAGGTTGAAAACGTACTACCGTGAATCTAGATCTGGGATCTGGCGCGCGGATTTGGGATTCCCCTCCCACTGGGAAAGGTTTCTTCAGAAAGGCTCCATGCGCTTGTGGGGCCCGGAGGCCCTATAGACCGTCCTAAACGTATGCATGGTTTTGAGAACGCGCGCTGACAAACTTAGCACAACAACACTGACGCCTGGCGTTGCGGTCTCCGTAAGCCGCGTGGTAAGGTGCGCCGCAGCTAGCATATCATATCACTCGCATGCATCAATAAACACATCACAAGACATATCAATCGCCTGCGTTGGGCAGGCGAGTGATAACGACCACGTAGCAAAAATAAGCTTTAGAACGATTTATGAAATGGATTTGTACACGTGTTACTGCTTGCTTCTAACCCGTAAATTTCGCTGGTGCAATTTTCAAACCCATCCAGTGTAATTCACAGCTTCATATCCAAACGTCTTAGCTGTTATAGCCCCACGAATAGTCTGAGATTTCAGTTGGCACGGCATCACTGGCGAGACATCAGAACCGACAGTGCGCGCCGTGTTGTCATAAAACTGCTTCACAGGACATGCCCAGTCAGCGTCGAGGTTATAGACGCTGTTCTTTACGGTGATGGTGACTGAGCCAGGCCACCCAAGACAGCGCTTATGATTCCAGGGTGATTGTAACCAGGGCTGTTATGGGTGCGACACTTCTCCACTTTTTGTAATGCCTGTCTGATCGATTTTTCACGTCGAAGTGTTGCTCACTTCCATGCACCAGTAACCACTGAGCATCCCATGCGGTGCAGCTTTAGGAGATTGCCGCCTGCACTCTAACAGTGGCAAAGCTCACGTGCTATTTAGCGCAATCCAATCCGAAAAACGTGAACTAGCAATAATGAACCGACTTTGACTTCACGAATAGTTTGTGGTGCTGGATTGTGAGCACTGATGAAACGCGGATGCCAGGTTGCGTAAGTACATTCGGTGTGTTAACTGAATAGGGCGAATCAGGGGTCGTAGATATGATGAAATGGATTTCCGTGCCATTTAAGCTCTTTAAGACTGGTGATAGACGTACCAGTAATGCCTGGAATGCCAGGCATTGAACTTAAGACGAACGCATCTTCACATTCACACGCAAACATTGACGTGCTATTTCATGGCCGTAGTTGGTGTTTCTGTACGTGACAGCTAATGCGTTCAAAGCCGAACGCATCCAAAAATATCGGGACCAAAATAGATAGTCCTTGAGCGTTCAAGGTATAACGCACTGATCGCCACCCATGGATAACACCGTCAACAGCATCTGGTACTCCGAACAAGCGAGAAGCCTCATAACTAGTGTAGTGGAGCCCTGAATGATCGGCCACACCCCAGCAGGTTGTACATGGTTTTCGGCAAGCGCGGCTCGTGCCTGGGCACGTGTACGGGCAAGACCAATCTGATAAACGGCGTGACAGACCAGTGTGAAACCCCCTGAGCGATCGAGAGTGCCTTGACGAGCTAACATAGAAACCCTCAGCAGCGTTTTAGGATGCTTTGAGGAAAAAGGAAGCACTCAAGTTTGATGTGGCTAGCCCCTGAGCAATGGGAAACACCCATTATGGTTAACAGTGTTGAAAAGTACGTAGGGTTCTCCGCAAATAAAATAGATTGGAAATATCCATGACGTCCAAGCAAAGCTGGACGGAAAGAACCTGAGGTGGTCCTGCGAACTTTCGAGAGTTATTTTACATGTTAACATATGCGATCCCAGACGACAGCTAGATATATAATAAGAATATATAAAGATAAACGTCAATACCATCCAACCAGATAAAATAAACCGGAGCCAATGTGAAAGGCCCTCGAGCGATCGGCATGGCGGGCAAGTCAGCATACAGGGGACTCAGCCTGAGGGGCTCCGACAATAGTGCAAAGCCCTCCGAACCAAAGAGAAGGACCCAAGTTAAGTGTGAAGCGCCCCAGATCTATCGTGAGTGCCGCGGCACGTGGACGGGGCCTCCTGGCAGCAACGCAGTGCTCTCTGAGATATTGGCAAGAGCACCAAACCATTGTGCAAGGCCTCTGGGTAATAGTGCATATATCAACGTGTAGGGAACCTGGTAAAAAACCAATGCCGTAAACACGACCATCTTAGTAAGTCATAAGTTATTTTTGTTTACTCTTGGGTCTGGCATCTTCGTTCGTGGCTCCCTCTGGTCGCAGGAGGCACGTAATCATCTCATTGTTTGCGCTTTGTGCAGCATACCTGCGTGTGTAATCCCGGTTTGGCACCTCTGGGCTCCTCCGGACCCCATGGGGGCCCCAGTGGGAGAGGGGAATGGGCGATGACCCACTCGCTCCTCACTGGATTCGTCCTTGGTGTGGACAAGCTCCTCATCCTTTGCGCCGTTTTTTTTTATTGCGCCTTTCCTAACAGTGGACGCGATTGTAAACGCTGCGTGTTATGTGTTGTCCTGTGTAAGGACAGTTCACCTTTAACTTAATAACGTGCTCCTTTTGCTAAGTTTGAGCTGTACATTTCAAAAGAAAATCGATGTCATTTAAGTTTAATAGGTCGCGATAACAGCTTCCTATTCAGTTCGGGGAGTGACAGTCCTTCCCCAAGTTTAAGAACAGAGTGGGCCAAATATTGATGACACTTTTTTGCGTACATTGGGATTATTCTTAGCCATGTGTTTCAGCTTAGCTTCCTAACTTATTTTGCGAAAGTGCGCCCATGCAACAACCCGTGCAGCACATCGTTTTGCCCCGTTTTGAGTAAAGAGGTAATTAACATTAACCTCTATGGATTGTACATTACGTATTGCTGACGAATGCCCCCATTACTACCGCAGGAATTCGGACCGTCGTGGTCCGATGGACTTGCGTGCACGTAACCACTACCTTCAGCATAGGGTTCTTGATTGAAGTACGTCACAGTAACGGTCGTCAGCGCCGCATTGTCGCGTCGGTGGTCGTGACATGGAAATTACGCCGCCGTTGCGATGGAGCACACGTTTCAAGGCCTAATGAAAGCGTGCAGCATATTGCCCCGCTCACGCCTGTGAGCCGGATGAGATCACGACTTAGTCTGCTCTCGCGCTGGCCATGACAGTGCGTTGGGGTGAGTGAGCTGTTTCGCAATGAACCGGACGCTCGGCAGGGATGACTGACTGCCGCCTGTGTGACTCGGCTGCCGCCGACTGCGTCAGTTGCGCAACGAGATGGCCAGCCGTCCCAGTGCACGCACACTGCGCGTTAAGCCAAAACGGAGAAAAACGCGAAGGGAAGGCGTCGGAAGGTTGCTGGGTGCGATCCACACTTTGCGGTGGTGTACGCTACTAAGTAAGGATAAGCTGTGCCCGCTACGACGCACTACCATCATGCAGCTGGCCATACACCCATGGCTGTATCATACGCAGCGGAGTCACTGTCATGGCTGGAGAGCACGGGGATGTCGTGTGTGTCGTGTCGTCGTGTCGATCAGCGCATGTCGCTGACGCGTCGCAAAATTGCATAGGCGATCCGAGGCTGGGATGAAAGTCGTAAGAGCGGAATCGTAAAGTAGACGTTAGTTTGCACCTTTCATCGTGCGCCCAAGTGATCTGGGCGGGGCTACTGATGCCAGAAATTCATCCGATCACCAAGTTAGAACTGAACCTCAGAATTACAAAGATGTAACGAAGGCTTAGTTTTGCATTTACATTGTATAAGCCAAGATCATCCCAAGGAAAAATGGTAGTCATGGACGAATCCGCGCCACCTTCCGCAAAGTTAGCAAAACCGCATGAGTTTGCCATTCAAAGAGGGTTCAACGACATCAGAACTAGACCAATCATAGGGATTGAGAAATGATTCCGACTGTCACCTTAATTTTCAACTCTCTCCTGGTTCGAGTCAGTAAGACACTTTTTTGCGGAGCAGGGCGATCGCAGGTGTAATTATCGGCACGCAGATGATGCATGAATGCGAATGAGTGAGGCCTGTCGCTTTTGAGATACAGTATATACAGAAGTTATCAATGCGTGTGTCAGTCTCATCTTGCCGCAGTGCCTGGTCGCTGAATATGGACGTTTTACCTACATGCGGCGCTCAGTTATTTCGTAAGCTGAAAGTAATATGTGGGTGTAATGTTGGTAACATTGCGACGCTGCAGAAAGTCACCTGATCAAAGGCCCTGCATTCAAATGCCTTGCAAATGTTACAGTACAGTATTTCAAGAACCGTGCCATTTGATAATGAACGTTTCATGGCGTAGCTTTAGCTTTTTTGCCATTGATGGTCGCAAAACATAGAGCCGCTTGTGCCAAGCTGGGCAGGGCAGCCGAAGCTACAAATTTCCGGCTTAATCAACTCGCTCGCTGAAACTCGCTCGGTCCGGGGACAGGCTTGTAGAGGTAGGTAAGACATATTTTGGGGTGTGGAGCGAGTGAGGTGACGGCAAATGAAAGCTGTCAGGCGGAGACCTGTCAATATAATACTCGCACACTCACATATAGCTTGACTTGAGAGTCGGCTTGCCACCGATCTTGGCAGGCTTATAAATTTTTATCGACGACGTCGAGTGATCTCACATAATTTACAGCTTGAGCAAATGTGATCAAAATGTTCGCAAAGAACGCATATATTTTGGATGAATGGTGGGAAGAGACATTGGTCAATTTCCGGTCCATTACATGTACACCAATGGGCTGGGGAGACTTCGCCCAAACATCGCCTTTACCGTTCGCTTCATATCTTTATCTTTTCTGGCTGCTAAGATCTAGTATCAATCATCAAAAATTCCCCCTTATTTTGCGGCGTATTTTGCGGTCCTACGCATGATTTGCGCATGATACTGCAGGCTGTTTTACACAGCAACCCATTTTGTTGCCATTACGATTGTTCATTTTCTCTCCCGCCGGTATGTTCCAGTTTCGTGCCGCTGCAGTGCCAGGTCGCCGATATATGGGGGGTTTTCGCAGCGCTCCAATGATATTCGTCTCCACGTGATGTCATGTAAAGTATTTGCGTTCGCAGCGCGGTACGTTTTCTGTTAACGTCTTCGTAATTTTCGTGACGATAGGTGCGCAGCCGAGACAATAGCATTTACGCTTGCGCGCACTGAGCGTGCCACTAGCAATGCAAAGTACAAATGATGCTACTCGCCATGCACAACACATAATTTCTTTACCCGCCGTCGGCCCTGGGCACGAGAATTTACTATTTATAATGAGCTTGCTGCGCCATGTATGTCTCAATTCGATCAAATGTCGGAAAGGGATTCTGCGCATCCGGCAAAAATTATACGTGACCTCACGTAAAATCTGTCGTCCAGGTCGCTGAGAACACACCCCTGAACCCGGCTTCGACCCGCTGTGTTCTTCAGCGTTTTCTCCTCTAGTTAATTTTTTCTTTATCCATGTCGACCGAACAGCAGTGGGGGAGGGGGTTCGTGGTGATACGCAATGTCGGAGGAGAAGCATGCCTGATCAGTGTGCATGAGATTTCCTGGCAATATATATGGCACAGCTTTTCAAGGATAGTGCTTTTTGTTGGTGAGAGCGGCGTCATCTTGCGATCAGTGGCTGCGAAGATGTAAGAGCCTAATGTAAGAGCTGCGAAGGTGTCAGAGCCTTGCCAGATCTACGGCCGCGTCGGTTTCATAATTCGAATTAACGTGCGTCCTTGCTCAGGGTAAAGGATGGCGAGGAAATACAGGTAATGAATTCTTAGCCCAGTGTATCCACTCAACGGTTCCGAATTTCGTTATCATGCTTTCGTGCAATTTGAGTTTTTCATCCATTTCACATAATTATCTGGGCACTTGCCAAGTGACGCTTAAGAATGAAGTACAAAAAATATAAATGTGTCACGGGTGATTGACTAATCATAGCTTTACTCCACAGCTCAATATCCTGTTATCATTGAGCATGGAATTGGACCAAATCAATACTTCCATGTCAAGCAGTTGCGCTCAAGCATTCGAAGGGCATATCATGTTCTGATATCACCTGCACATCGTCTTATCGTCTACAGCCCATCGCACGGTGCAGAAACTTCAACAACATCAACAAGATCATTAATGCTACCTTGCTTAGCGGCGTTTCCGGTGGTGGAAAGTGCTGCTCATGTTCCTGGGCGACTTGACCTGGTGTCACGGTCTGAAGTCTTGGATCACGAGATGGATTGTTATCACTTGGATCGTGGATGGTCTTCAAATGTCTCGGATCACTGATGGCTTGGCCCGGGGCCGCGGGCCAAGACCTTGGTTCGCCTGATGAGCGCATTCCGGCCGGCAGGATAACGGACCGGACGAGCAACGCGAAGGCGGTGATCTTCATCCTGGCCGTCGCAGCCAGCTTAGCTATCCTCATTATAGTCGGCGTCGAGCTCAGTAAGTGCCCTCTAAGTGCCGTGCAACAACTTCCGGGACCGTGCTACTTTTTCTGTCTTGCAGTTGCGAATATGTTTATAATTGGAATGCACGCCTACGCCGATCTTTGGCTGCCTTTCCCAAATAGCCTGCGATCTTGCAGTGTCAGTGGCTGGAGTATTGTTACCTCAGTAAATGGAAGATACCAGGACAAACCGTCCGTAGCACGACACTCATTCCCGGCATTCACACGATTTTTGACCTATATGGTTCACTTGGGTCCTTAGATACCAGTTACATTTTAGATATCAGTTACATTTTTGGCATAAGTCAGTAGGACAACTGATACAGATCGTGCTATTTTTGGGATAATGGCTTCCAGACAGTAAAAAAGACTGAACACCACTAGCAATGTCAGAAAAAGCACCCCAATTGGACATAAGCATAATCAGCAGGAATCAGCGGTCAACCTCAAATCTCGGCATAACCCAAACATCGAGCTTTCCACCAGTGATCTCGTGACCTGGTTTTGATATCAGTAGGTCAAACCGTGCGCATTTATTCCGTTTCATAATTCAAAAATGCCTTTTGATTAGACGTTTATCGATAGCAGTTCTAAAAGCATCGGAACTTAATGTTTGAAATGGGATCAGTGACTTGGCATGTTCAACAGTATTTGTGGGAACCATGATCTACGCTTACAATTTTGTGTATTTCTTTGTAACAATAATGCATGGAACACAATCTTGCTTGGCTGGTGGGTTGTTGAAACAGGTGGTGGACATGGACTGGATGGTGCAATGACATGCCTCATGTAAGCTCATTTTGGCGCTGCCCGGACGCACTCCTCTGATGTGTCTGATTCACAAATCGTAATGATAAGGGACCGATCAGGGCGGCGGAGGTGTCTTGATAAAGAGCGGCATCTAGGGAAAAATGGAGTGCACAAGAAAGGCTTGTTTTAGGATACATCAGAAAATATATAAACTACCAGAACGTGACGAAAATAATTCCTAAACTGGATCTCCTCTTATGTCAGCTTCCGAACTAGCGCCGCATTTTTGCTAGCAGTAGGGAGGTACATGAATACAATATAGGTTACCAAATGTACGTTGGCACACAGCATCGAAGCCCAGAACTTCAGCTGGCTTCTCTCGTGAGATCGTTAACTTATGAAGATCTGATTCGCCACAGCGAGTGTCCTATGGGCAGTTTCAGAGCATATTGCGCCCCCAATGCAGTAATTATCCCGCGATTAGACTGTCAACACCTTTTTGGGTGTTCAGAGCGGTGTTAGGTGCCTGGGAAGCGAGGGCTTGCTGCTGACAGGTGCAGCCTGGGTAAAATGATACAACTGGCAGTTTGTAGCCTTCTATTAAAGTGGAAGTGAGCTCCGTACCCCACATCACAACTTTGAGGGTATACACCGAATATAATCACAGGGAGGAACGCGTCTTGTGTATTTTGATGGTAGGTGTGGGCATTTTTCCTTGCTCAGCACATACTTATTTTGTGACGCCACACCGGTTGACAGGAGGATGAACATGCCAAAACCCCTGGGTAGCGCCATATCGAGCCTGGCCAGCCATGATTTTGTGGTTTTATTGCAAAATATGTTTTCAAGACGCTGAAAATGATACTTAGCGAGAGGGACGACATTCTGGTCGGTGCCTGCTAATACATCCTCTTTTGTAATGCGGGATGTGCGTGCATACATTTTCTTACATTCCGCTTCGCGCGTCACTCTTCGGGGATCGGTGGGGCTTCTCCAGCGGAGCGTACGACGGCGAGCAAGCCTGCCATGGCCAGGAATTCCCCCCGCCTAACCGAACACGACCCATAGGACCGAGCGGGACCTGAGAGTCCGTCGCTGCTGCCGGTCGGGCCCATATTGTTGACCGGATCCGCGAGGAAAACGGTGTGAGTGGCCCGGCCAGGTGGGGAAAGCCGCCGTTTTCCCCGTAACCGGCCATGACGGTGGCCTCTTCTGGAAGTCAAGGTTGAGAGTCCGTGAAAGGTGGGGGAATCCTTCAGAGAGTCCAGGAGAGGGGCTTGAGGATGGAGTCTCCCGGGGAGTTCCGAGGAACGAGGGAACTAGGAGCGTGGAGGAGAAGTGGTGGTGACAACCAGGCGGCGATATCTGGCTTTGCGGACAACGTGACACCGGCGACAACATGCACGCGTAAGCCCACAGGCTATCCCCACCCTCACCGGGCCATGGACGGCTGGCGCTCCTGTGTCCCCTGAGCCCTCCCTACCGGGCGGGCGTGGGCCACGGCCTCCTGTCTCTCCCGTGCAGTTAGGGAAGGGGAGGGGGGGGGGGGGGCACTGGCCACGGAACCCTCCCGGATGGGCAATGTGTTTCGGGCCCGCTCCCATAGTTAAGGAGGGGGAGCGTGACGTGTCGCGTGGTTCGTCTGTCGTAGTGATTTTGTAAATACAAGTAGCAGTCTGCATTTTAAATGGTTCAGTGTGGAAGCGAGCCTGGAGTTATTTGGTCATGCGGCGACAGGGCACTCGCGCCCGGCGTGAGTGGGAATGGTGACTGAGGCTGTTAACATGCGTCTCGGCGCGACAGCCCGCCCGTCAGCCCGCGCCGAGGCTATCTTGATTTCGTTGTTGGAACCGACCCCGAGACACTGTGCTGCGCAGCAGCGGAAAGCTGCGAGCGGTGGGCGTGACCGAAGGAATGGTGGGCCGCCCAGCGTGGACGGAGCGCGGGGAGCGACGTCTGAACAGGGAGCCTTCATCCTGGAGGTCAGACGCGGGAGCGAGTCGCCGGCCAGCTTCGGACGCCTGACGTCGGCCCAGCGGCGGCGTCTGTGCCGAGCTGATGAATTAACACGATACATTTTAAGCAGGGCTTAAGCGTGGCTTTATGGAATGTTGATGTGCGATAAAAAAGTTCGTTGGCTTGACGAGGACTCACGCGGGCCAGCCAATAATGCCAAGGCGCTGGATGAAAGGGGGGGGGGGGGGGGCATCCGCGTGCCAGCCAAGAATGAGTGGGCTGAAGTGGGCGCCAGCGTATGTGTATGCTTGGAGTGAGTGTGGTGGGGGCGCCGAATGCATGGAGTCTGCGTGGATAAGTTAAGGCCGAGGGGGCGTCCATGGTTGGTACACAGCGGACCCTTGCCAATGTAATTCGCCAGTTGCGTGGGACCCTTGCCAGGTGAGCGCACTTTCGGCGCATCCGGTTCCGCTGCCCCGTTCAAACATTATCCAAGCTGCAAAGGTGGAGGGTGGTATGCCGTGTTAAGGGCACACAGCCATGCACGGGAAGACAGCCGTCCATGGTGCTTGACTGGATCTACCATCTCGCCGGTGCCCCGGTCATCCGCTTCATCCTAGCTTTGTGACTCAAATGAGTGTGTGTTGATGTCGGGTGTACCGGAAGTCACCACGTGCCGAGTCGTGCGCCTAACATCATCTGGCTCGTATGCTGACCACTGGGCTCCTCTTTATAAGTTCGCTCGTGTGGGGAGGCGTGACGGCAGCAGCCGGCGGCGCTTAACATCCAGGGGCGGCCAGACAGCCGCGCAGCGCACGTCGTCACTTCCAGAACCACCACCCACAGATGCTACACCATGCTTTATTGTGAAGTGCGCAGAGTGCCGTAAACCTATCCATAGTGCATGGCTTACGGCATTGGCCAAACCCTCGAGCCTTGCAATTGCTTTTCCTCCGACGCACCGAAAAACAACTCTGTGATGGTGAATTCATTCCAAAAGGTCCTTCTCCATGTCAAATCGAGGCTCTCAATGACTACAAAGATGACTTTGTCCTGATTCCAAATGGCACTTTTGCGACCGATTAATGTCAAAATGTTTGTGGTGGTCTAAGTTAGTCGCTGAATCGGGCTTTCACACGTAAGTCTTCAGCGCACATTCACCGACCAAATTCTGATACCCGGTGGTCTGCGCAATCACAAAGGAGACTTTCTGTCAAAATAGGACACTTCTTCACATCAGGGACCGGCAGACTAAATTGTGTGGAGGACATTGTCAAAGCGCATTTTGCCAACAGCTAAGTGATGAAAGCGCACAAAAGACGCACCGGTTCGGGCTGATCAGTTAAACAGATGCAAGCTTTTGTGCTATGAATTAGCATGTGGAGACTCTGTGAAGACGTGTTTGAGTAGGAACACCATGACCGTCATAAAGTAGCCGTTCTGCTGACCTCACAGCCTTTTGTGCCATCTGTCACCTTGATGTACATGGCCATAGTGAGATATACGCCGGATAACACCGTCTGGCAAGGTGCGCTCTGTCGCAGAGAGAAAGCCTGGCAAGAGATCGCTGGAAGAGCGCTCAAGGCCCGCCTCAAATTTATAAGAAAAGCACATGATGGCTGACGAGGTTTGGATGTCAGTCTCTTCTTTTCACCGCCCCGGCAAGATCGAAAGTGGCTTGCCTTATTCTGTTCCATCCGTGCCACGATCAATGCACATCCATGTTAACCATGCAACGTCCATCAACAACAAACAGGGAGAAGACTCATGAGAGCAATATCTCAAGGCGCTGTCGAATGGCGCGTAAAATATATCGGGGGAGGGGCGGACATAAACCGCGTTTTCGACATGGAAAAGGCTAAATAGGTGTTTTTATAAGCTTACATCTGTTTTAGCCGATAAAAACTGGTAGAAAGGAGAGTCGCAGAAACTCGTTTCAGCAAGCTGAAATACCAACTCTCGTACACGTGCTCACGGCAATGGTCAACTGTGTCCCAATCGCTCAGTTGGATAGAGCATTTGCCTTGCGGCCCACCAATTTGGGCGTGTGGGTTCGAGTCGCTTCAGGCGCTTGCTGTTTGTCCGTGACAAGGGCGGTTGATGGCAATGACCGCGCTTAAGGTCAGGTGACGTCAGAGGGCAGGACGGACCGTGCCGATCATTGCGGCGCGCTTAACTGAATTCCGTCGTCGATCGCCACCAACGCGACAAATAGCCACCGCCAAAAGCCGCCGAGGACGCCACCAAATTCTGTCGTCAGATCTAGAATTTCTCGATCGTATGTTGGTTG